TGATTGATATTTTAAACAAAAAATCTATATATTCAAATACTATACGAAATGTACTATAAATTGTAATTCTTTTGCATATCAATATGATGAAAAAATACATCATAAAATATTAGTCAAAGTTTTTATAGTTTGACTATAAAAAAAGAAACTATGACAATGAAAAGTCGACGGAGATAGTATGATTTAGGTACCACACACCTTAATCACTTTCTGAATTAAGTAGTCATAGAATGCTATGGTGTTTTAAAGCGTGGAGGAGTCTCATGTCGGTAGTTTAAGCCTTAAGGGAAAGAATCTTAAATAATCCTCTCAACACACCTCCTTACGTGTCTTTTCATGGGTGTTTTAAAGCGTGGAGGAGTCTCATGTCGGTAGTTTAAGCCTTAAGGGAAAGAATCTTAAATAATCCTCTCAACACACCTCCTTACGTGTCTTTTCATGGGTCAAATATGTGAAAAATAAATTTATATGAATGACAGTGAGATTTCATCCCTGAATTTCTGTCTGCTCTAATATCATATTGAAATGTGTTAAATTTTTAGATAAGATGGTTTCACACTTCAACGAGTTTCAATCCTTAGATTTTCAAAACTATTTTGATTGTTTAGTTATTAATTTTATTTTTTTCCTAGGATTTGTTCCAAGAAGTTTATGAGATAAGATTCCATTGAATGACAATGAGAATAACGCTGGATTTGAACTAACAAAAATGTTAGTTGGCTGAAGCATAATATCACTTTAGATAGGGTATAAAGCTGAATAGTGAAGACTTCATTTTATCGAAAAATAATATTGTATATATAAGTCAAATGATATACGAAGTGATTAAATAACATAAAACAAAGTGTTGTAGCCCAGTGATTTTAGATGCCCTGAAAGTGCCCTAAGTGCTCATGTGGTTGAATCTCACTAGCAACAATTTTTTCCCCCTATTTTTTGGACATCCTTCATGAAATTCTTTACTCAGCTACTATAAATATCCATTACGTAGATAAGTTAACCTAATAAAACATTTCATCTTCTTTAATTATACATATCAATTTCAGTATTCTTTTTATGTTTCAAATATCTTCTTAATCTAAATTGTTTTTACAATTTATATCACGATATATTTTAATGTAGCTAGTTTGGCAAAATACATATTGTACGAACATTACCTTAAACTTATCTCTGTCAATCTCACCGTCCACTAGATGTAAATGTACTTATATGACAAATAATATTTATTTGCGTGATCAATATTTATATTAAATTAGTTAATAAATACAAAATATTTTATTATGCCCATTTAATTATTATTAACTACTATATTTAAGTGATGAATTTTATATTTAAATTTACAATTGTTAAAGGTATTTTTTAAATTTAATTTTATAAATATCGAATATAAATAATTGTTTGTTGGCTCAGTAAGGAGATGTAGGAGAATTAATTGACATCGATTATCATGAATATGCATTCACAACTAGAAATTATTGGTTTTGTAGCTAGCTAGTAAGGTCTTCTTTGGACGGTAACCAGATGTGAAAACATTCAAGATTTAAAGTTTGAAATTTCTATAGCTAATTAATCTTCACAATCAATATTTAAAAATAATTTGTGAATTTAATTTATAAATTCACACAAATTCGTTATTGGCTAGATACATGGATGGAATATAATAAAAACATATCATATTTGGATGTGATATCGATATAATATAAGTAAACTATTTAGGGATATATCACTTGTTAAGAGGGAATCAAATTCTTGCACTCATGAATCACATTCTATTGACTTTTGTACAATGGATGAAGATTGTATTAGCCACCTTTGTGGTGGGAATTCACACTCCTCAACTTTGACTCTTAATTAACCTTATTCACTCTTAATTTTATATTTGAATTTACACCAAATATTAGTTAATTTAATCGTTATATTTTGAATCAAATTAAATAAGTTGAAACAAAGAGGAAGGGGGAGGGTAATTTCTCTTAATCGGAGAATAAAAAAACTTGTCAGGGAGGACAGGGTGATCTTTTGAATAATGAACTCATTAAAATAGGACTTTGACGCATTCATGAAGGTAAACCAAAGAAGAGCAAAAGAAAGGATGGATACTTGTGGGATGGGGGAATTAGACATTCGAACTACGAGTTCTAATTAAACATTTGAACACATTATAAAATGATCAGATCATCCTATTAGATATTTTCAATTCAAATTTGAGTTTTTTTTTTTGCACGTGTTCTCAAATAATGATCACTGAACTTATAAATTAATTTAAAAATATGTCACTTTTTTTAATCATATGAATTAACTTAAATAAGTCGCAAAACCCTAAGCATATCTCAATTAAGGATGATGGGTATAATTAAAGGAGAGGCATAATACATATATTGGACCCTAAACTTGGCTTCAAATTTCAACTTTGACCTCCAACTTTCATAGTGCACAAACATGCACTTTAACTATCCAACCTTTTAATAAATAAACACGCGATTTTTGGAGGCAAAGAGCGTGAAATGCAAATGCTCCCACGTGTATTAGTGAGCCAATCAGTGGCTGCCAACTAATTAAATACTTTACACGTCCATTTTAGAACTAAGACCCAACCCAAAAATCCACCCAAATAACTAAGACCCAACCCAAATTATAACCCGAAATCTTCATATGCACATTTCAAAAATAAAAATAATTTCCATTCCTAAAAGAACTCAAATCTTGATACCACAGGCCACAACATACATCTCAAATGAAAAGCAACACACTGAAGCATATCAAAGAATCAAATCAGAAACAAAATTAACATAAATAAACTTTCAAATTCCAAAGGAAAAAAAATCAATCTTGGGGTAAGAACTCTCTCTACTTCAATCAATAAATTATAAGTCCTATTATGCTTAAAGAAGTAATGGAATACTTTGAAGACTAAATTGATGAAAATATCAAAATTTTATCAGAAAGGTCAAATCTAAAACCTATCACTACATTAGAAGACAAATTCCAAGATCAAAATGCTTCATAAAAAATTAAATTGAGCACTTTGAGGTCTAGATTGATGAGCAGATTCAAATTTTGTCGGAAATCTCAGTCACCTTGAACGCTTTAATCTTTGCCTAGGTCTATTTCCATGGCAGTTGAAGCAAGACACTTCACTCAACAACAACAACAAATCATTTTAAATCAAGGAAATGGGTTTTCCTACAATACCCAGATGGGGTTCTTCTCTTTTACCGTTGCCAACAGCGGAATTTTTTTTGCCCTTTCTGTGCAATTTCGTTCAGACTAAAATTTCTCTTGAAATTTGATATAAGGTCTGATTTGGAAAATTGAATGGGTAACAGAAGTGAAGATTATTGGGGATATTTTTGGATTATAATTTGAGTGTGGGTTTCAAGTTATTTGGGTGGGTATTTTAATTATGGGTAAAAATCAAATAAAATTCGGGTAGGTCTTTAAGATTGAGACACGTGTCCCTCCGTTAGTCTAAAGGATATATACATACCAAAAATTAGACAGTAAGGGCATTAGTGTCCTAAAAGTATAACGGAGGATATTTAGATACCATTTATGATAATTCGGAGGTATATTTGTCCTTTTTCCCTTTATTAAAAGGTTGGATAGTTAAAGTGTATACTCACCCATCTTGCCAAAAAAAAAAACTTCATTATAATTTTTTTTCGCAATAACAAAAAATTAATTAAATGTCACTTGCTTTTTGCAGTGAACAACAAATAATGCAAAAAAGAGGGGAAAATTGTTGAAAAAAATAGAAAGAGGGTTTAATTGTCCTTTCAATGTTTTTTTTACTGTTGGGCCCCTCGATTTTTACATCTGACGCGCCTAATTTGAGTGTATTTCACGCATTTTGCCAGGTAGGATCCGAGTGTTTTTTTGTTTAAGTTTTGGATAGTTAAAGTGCCTATTTGAACACTCACAAAGTTAAAGGTCAAAGTTATAATTTGAAGCCAAGTTAAAGGTCCAATTTATGTATTAATGATGTCTTTGAAGTGGTCAAGTTATCTAAGTGATAAACATTTGAGATTACACACAAAAATTTTTACAAGATTTGAACATAAATTATGTAATATGAATACTTTATCTTATGTTCAGACACTCAATTTAGAACAAAAGATAAATTGAATTTATAAATAAAAGTTGCTAGTAAATTTTTAAAAATTATCCATCGTCCCTACCTACCGACATAATTTGTAAGGTTGTTATTTGATCCGTTGAGAGCACAATTTGGCCATTTGTGAGAGTACTAAATATGGAATAAAAATAATGCATACATGACATTTGTTTTTTAAAATTATATTTTTGATAAAAAAAAATTATTTACAAGTAACAACATAATGGAGCATATAAATTTATCCAAAATCTAATTCAGAATCTATTATAGTACTTGTGAGTACATGAGGTTTTCGTCTTAAAGGATTTCAACTCATCACTTTTATTCTTTAATTTAACTATTTGCGATTTTAAGATATTCTTTTACTATTATATATAAATATGTATTTGAAGACTATTACAAAGGATCTTAGGCAATTAATTGATGATATTACGGAGAAAAAAACTTACTAATGAAGGATTTATATTCTTATCAAGAAATATTTTATTTTTATATTTCGAATCAGAAATTTTTAATCTTATTAAGAAAATCTTTATCATTTTATGACACATAATATTATATTAGTAAAGTGTTTTTATGAAACCTCAATCCTTCAAAAGTAATAATCTACTCCATTAAGACCACACGAGTTCTTGTCTTATGCAAGCTAAACTACTAAATTAATTAATTAATTATTTCTTCACTTAGCATTGACCTTCAGATATCTTATTTTAATATATACTAGCACCATATAAAACAATGATTAATCAAAATTCTGGTTTTTTAAGAAAATCTTAAGCTATAAATTTGAGCAGTAACAAACAAACGTTGAGTATTTTTTCTTCTTCACAAAATAGATATTTAGTTCACCTTATTTAAATGTGAAGTAATTAATTAGCTTCTCTTTTTTTCTTTTTTTTTTGGTAACAAGTGTAATTAATTAGCTAGTGGTGTCTTTTGAAAAGCAAATCTAATCTATTTATTTAAGCTACTACACTATTATATGTAGCTGCTACGACCAGTAATAAGTAGACAAATTCAAGAAGTGGCTATTTATTCTTGATTAATTAAATGTTAGTGATCTAGTTGGTGTATAAGATTGATTAATAGCGTTAATTCATTATTATCGGCGGATTAAGAATTTAAAATTTATGATCTCTAATATTTTCAAATTAATTAATATGCAATAATAACTGAGTTTATAATCAAATATTTAGTGAATATTTTCATTCAAAAAAGAATGTCACATTTCCTTATTTAACAACTATTTAATAACATCATTCCATTTTACCTTTGTTGGGTTTCACTTAACATTCTATTGTGAAGAAAAATCAATTATAAATAAGCATCAAGATGAATTTAATAAAATAAATTTAATAAACATAACAAAAAATTTCCTTATTTCATATATTTTGTGTTAATCAAACAATGCCACATAAACTAAAACAGAGAGAATACATAATTTAAACAAATCCTTTTAAATTCTTATGAAATCATAAATTTGAAATAAGAATTCTGAATCTGCTGCTATCCATCATCTTCTTCTTCCTCCTACCATAACGGATAATTAAAAAATGAGACATAACCTTGATGATGTGATTATTAAACACGCATTAATTATGTACATTTAGACGACAAAGAAGAAATATGATTCAATGAAATTATATCATCAATTATTATATGAAAATCTTTGACAATATATCTCAAGTTGCCAACCCATAATTGTACTCTTTGTCAATATATGTAAACCTACTTGCATATGAATACTGTCCATATAGAGGCATGTTTCACTTTATTAAAAAGGATAAGTCAAACATATCCATGCAGGTCCACTTTATACAACTTATATATATATATATTAATTATTTCTTTGATAAAATTAATTATCAATGTGAGATTTTGTTGACACACCCTAATTCTAACAATCTAGATTGAGTGACGTTACTCAGATTCACATGCCAATTTTTGAGATTCACTATGTGTCAGACACAATTGATTTTTGAAACTCAAAGTTAGCTTCTTCTTGGATGGGTGCATCTTCAATCTACCTTTTGACATAAGTAAAAGTAAAATTGAGTCATATTTATACATGTTGTTGGACGAGCTTAGCCTAAAATTATCTTTAATATAGTGTGATGCAGTTCCTCTAATCGTTTAAGAGTACTATACCTATAATTTATATGTAATTTTATTATTTTTTCAATTCATTACGAAATTTTGTTCAAACATCCCACATATATTGCTAAAAATACTATCTTCACAATGTGTTCTTCACCTTGTACGATTACTATAAGTCTATATATAAACAATTTCTACACCTAATTAAACATGTGAAAAATGATCTTGAAGCTTGTTTTGTCAAAGTAAAGCATTTAATTCCCATTATTACTTAATTAATTACGTCAACCAAATGAAAGATGGATTGCTACAACTCAACTAATATTGATTTTTTAGTTCCTCTGAATTTGGGGATTAAATATGTGAAAATGCATGTAGACTGATAACTTATCTCTAGTAATTTGGTCATAATAGTTATAGGCTACATCAAGTTTCAACAATGTCACCATCAAAGGATGTGGTGCATTGGATCAACTGCTCCTTCCTTAATCAGAGAGTTTAATTTCGAGTCTTGAATATGAAAAAATCCTTGATAGAAAAGCATTTTCCTTCGAATAAGACTCTACATAGCATGAATTTGAATTAATCAGACTCCAATACAGATAAAAAACAAGTAAGCTTGAACAATGTCTATCATGACAATTTTTTTGTGAAATGAATTCCTAAAAGGAGAATCTAATTGATTGACAACAATATGGATGCTATTCCTACTATATTATAGGCTAATGATACAACTTTAATTTAGTGGAAATGAACTGTTTCCTTTTCTTAAAACTTTTAATTTGCTTAATCTCAATTATTGACAAGAAATTTTATTTTTTTACTTTAACAATATATTCTTTTCGCATAACAGGAGTCTGGAAGCAACAATAAAGTTATCTCTTAATAACTTATGCATCACAAGTTTGAGCAGTAAAATCAACCGCTATTATATGATAGTCTGACTATCTCACATCATTAGAGGGCGGACTTTCTCGAACCCTACTAACACGAAATATTTTGTGCACCTGACTGTTCTTTTTGTTATATTCTTTTTGGCTCTACTAACCTTAAAAGTCTACAGGGGATTTCTCCTCTCTATATAAGGAGAATAAAAGCTGCCAACTTAACAAACAACAATATATCTTCTTTTATATTATCTTAAGAGAAATTGAAAAGATGAATATTGAGATGGATGAGATAAAGATGAAAAAAACAACAGAAATTGATGAGCAAAAATGGGTGTATGATTCTTCTGTTGATTACAAAGGCAGAGTTCCTCTTAGAGCTTCAACTGGTGGCTGGAAGGCCTCTTTCTTGATTATTGGTAAGAAAAAATTCATCTAATAAATGTCATTAGAAGTTTAGAACATAAAAGTTTCATTTTTTGGCTTTAAATCTCAATGATCATGAACAAAATGTATACAAATTCTGTTTTATTATTGTACAAAGTTTTTAAGTCCTAAATGATTTTTCTGATGTTGGTGAATATTGAAAATACTAGTCGAAGTAATCAAGTTACTTATTATATATGGATTTATCTTGTATTCACCGACAATATAGATGATTATTTTTATGTAAACGGTGGAATTTGACATTTTTTGTCTTATTTGTGAGGTTACTATTTCTCTTATTATGATAGTTACCTTTTATCTGATTTGACACTTCTACTAAGTTAAATTATATTAAGATTAGCATAAAAAGGTGTGGTAAGTACATCTTCATCTTTAACCAAAGATCTTCGGTTGGAGTCTCCATGGGTACAAAGTCATCTTTGTTAGAGAGTGTTTTACCCCTACTGTGAGACTTCCTGATGCGAATTCAAATCTAGTCACACTTCGAATACATCGAAACAAAAAATTAGCATAAGAAGAATTAGCCTCCACCCCAAGACTTGATTAGTCAGTGGTTCCTCTGTCCATAAAAAGAATAATACCCTTTTTAAAAAAGTCACTATTTAATGAGAACCACTAAAAAGTTGTATGATCACTTTTTGGGCACTGTAATTGTCCTAGATTCCATCCCCAACTGGACTAAAACCTAAGTGAGGAGTAAATAAGAAGCAACTATTTTGTTCTTATACATCTTATAAATGAAAAAGCAAAACTAATTGCCACTAAGTATAGCTTTATGACAAAGTTTACCACCACAATTAAATGTGATTTGACTTGATTATCTGATGTAGTTTGACTTGACTCAAATTTTGAGAAAGAAATAAAGACTTTTGAAACTTATGATCTAAAAAATAATTTAAGTTATAGATATTTATGTGACTATAAATCTGATAAAATGGGCATGTGTAAACAAGTTGCATTATTTTATGTAATTGGAGAAACTTATGAGTTGTGTTAATTTTGAATGTAACAGCAATTGAATTCAGTGAGAGGTTGAGTTACTTTGGAATAGCCACAAGTTTGATCATATACCTAACAAAGGTCATTCATCAAGACCTTAAAACTGCAGCAAAAAGTGTTAATTATTGGACAGGAGTTACTACTTTGATGCCACTGCTAGGAGGGTTTGTTTCTGATGCATATTTAGGCAGATTTTACACAGTTCTTGCTTCAACTGTTGTCTACCTACTGGTAATTATCACTGTTTTTATAGTATTCACATTTTGAGCTATTCATAGACTATGTTGCTCTGACTCTTCAAAAAAGTCAATCGGTGCGCATCGGATTCTAAAAAAGTAGTGTATTTTTAGTGAATCCAACACTGGTGCAACATCGAAACTGAAGAGTCCGTGCAACTTAGTTCACACCAAATAGACAACAAGTGTTTGGTGCTTTTGATATCTATCATATGTCAGTCTTTCTTTCTAAAATTTCGTGTTCAGTCAAATACTAAGTTATAAAATGAAACAAAAAGAACACATTTTAAGTTATCACTTTACTATAGACACAAATTTTGATCCAAGAATCATTAAGTTCTTCATAATAATTGGTTAACCAAATCATCATTTACCTATATGAAACAACTAAAGTAATCTCATTTATATGTTATTTTGTTAAACAGGGCTTGGTTCTTTTGACAATGTCTAGTGTGGTACCAAGCTTGAAGCCTTGTGGTAATGACCTTTGTCAAGAACCTAGAAAGGTTCATGTGGTAGTCTTTTTCTTTGCTATCTACTTAATCTCAATTGGAACTGGTGGACACAAGCCTTCTTTAGAGAGTTTTGGAGCTGATCAATTTGATGATGATCATCCTCAAGAAAAAAGGAAGAAAATGTCTTTTTTCAATTGGTGGAGTTTTGGACTTTGTGCTGGTGTACTACTTGGTGTCACTCTGATTGTTTATGTACAAGATCATGTTAGTTGGGCTGTGGCAGATGTGATTCTTACACTAGTTATGGCTGCTAGTTTAGTCATTTTTTGTGTTGGTAGACGATTCTATCGTTATCGAAAAGTTACTGAAAGTCCTTTAACAACAATGATACAAGTTCTTGTTGCTGCAATCAAGAAAAGAAATCTTGCATATCCTTCTAGTCCTGCTTATCTACATGAAACTCAAGAGTCAGAAACTAATCGAAGGAGGCTATGTCATACCAAAGGGCTTAAGTAAGATTTCGACCTTATGAATGTCCTGCACTGCTTTCCTTATTAGTTGCTATGTTTACTTGATGCACTTGAGTTGAGGGTCGTTAGGATACAGTCTCTCTACCTTTACAAGGTAGGGGTAAGGTCTGTGTTACCCTCTCAAACCCCCATTTGTGGGATTTCACTAGATTTGTTGTTGTTGTCGTAATGAAAACATCTTTTGCAACTCTACTTGTAGGTCTCTTGATAAAGCTGCAATCTTTGATGAGGCAATAGACGCGAAACAGAATCCGTGGAACCTTGCAACTGTGACAAAGGTGGAAGAATTGAAGTTACTTATCAACATGATCCCCATTTGGCTAACCACTTTACCATTTGGCATTTGCATAGCACAATCTTCAACATTTTTCATCAAACAAGGCGCGACACTTAACAGGAAGATCACTCATGATTTTCAGATCCCACCGGCTTCAATGTATGCCCTTGGAGCTATAGGCATGATAGCAACTGTCATTATCTACGACAAAATCCTTGTACCTCTCCTAAGACGAGCAACAGGAAACGAGAGAGGCATTAGCATTCTTCAAAGGATCGGTATTGGAATGATACTCTCAGTTGCATCTATGATTGTTGCAGCATTAGTTGAAAGAAAAAGACTTAACATTGTTCAAGAAAATCTACTTAAGGGTTCAATGTCAATGAGTGTGTTCTGGCTAGCCCCTCAATTTCTTATCGTTGGTATTGGAGATGGATTCGCGCTAGTAGGATTACAAGAATACTTCTATGATCAAGTACCTGATACAATGAGAAGTTTAGGCATTGCATTTTACCTAAGTGTCCTCGGTGCTGCAAATTTCTTAAGCAGTTTATTGATCACAATTGTGGATCATGTAACAGAAAAAGGCGGTAAGAGTTGGTTCGGAAAGGATCTAAATAGCAGCAGATTGGATTATTTCTACTACTTGTTAGCTACAATAACAGCAGTGAACTTGTTCATCTATGTTGTTGTTGCAAGGAGCTATTCTTACAAGAATGTGCATAGTAGAAGAACAGCAGATGTGGCTAACTGCTACGATGGCGATGATCGCGAAGCGATGGCTTAGAAGATTGATCAATGATCTCTAGTAAATTATTGAATTAGTATAGTCATCAAGCTAAGAAAAGCAAATTTACTCTGTAATCATATTTGATATATTTTTGTTCCTAATATATATAGTTCTACTCATATTTTGTTATGTTAGGAGCAAAATCACTTCTCTTTGGTAGGCTGAGATTTGCCACTCACTCACTCTGGCTAAGGCCCAGACAATATGGGCTGAATTATTCTTTATATAACTCACAGAAATCCCAGACATCTGGGCCAATTTCATCCTATTCCGGAAGTTTCTTCAATTACAAAAATCTCGGATACATTCCTTGATTGTCCGATACATTGTAAATGATACATTAAGTAATGGGAGGGATATATCTGAGAGGAGATATGGATGTATCTAAGAGGGGATAGAAATGTATTTGAGAGGGGATTTTTGTAATTTTTTGAAATGGTAAAGTATTTTAGAGATTATGATATTTTAGGTTATATATTTATGTAATTTATCCAATTATTTTTCTAATTGACCCTCACCTTATTATGGGCTAGTTTCTCAATAGAATGGACCAAGTAAAAGGACTTAGATCTTGGGATTTTGATATCTATATACAACTTCGAAGCGATAAATTTCATCAAACATTCTAATTAGTCGCCCCCAATTAACTTGTACCTTACTTTTAAAAAAAAAAAATTAGTATGCAAATGTAGGTAAGTCTTGAATTAACAATTGAAGTATGATATTTTTAAAAAGTGAGTCTTGAATTTCGAATATGAAAAGTAAGTCTAAATCAAGTGGTATTATTAGAAAAGTTTGAAATCAATGGCAAACCATCATTCTTGTAAAATGAGTTGTTCTTACTCTGACAAATTGATTATTGAAGTTTGTCCCTAAATTTCATTTTGGCACTTCAACTCAATCTTGTTTCATTTTAACCCTTTAACTCCAATTTTTATGTTCCATTTTGGCACTTCTTTCCAAAGAATCAACAAAGTGGGATGTGTGTACTTCACATGCCATTATTGTGTTAAAAAATAATGGATGAACATCATTTTTTTTAAAAATATTTTTTTTTTAGAGTTTTTGTACATTATTGTGTGAAAAAATAATCGGTGAAAGTGTGTTGGTTTCTTTTTTAAAATAATTAGTTAATTTAAATAACATCACATATATTTTTTTTCATATCTAGTCTACTTGGAATAACTCAAATATCAGCTTTCTAATTTTTCATTCAACTAAATACGAGTAAAAAAAAACTCATGTTCATTGCTAATTAATAACACTACAAAAAAATGTTGAAACTCGATAGACTTCGTTGGGTTGTCATTGATTTTTTTAAGAAAGAAAATCGACGCACTTTCGTCGGTTATACGCAAAAATATAGGAAAACATTTAAAAAGAAATTGTTACTTTTTTTATAAAAAAGAAAGATAATTCGTCAGTTTTAATTTTTTACAATAATTAATAGATGATCGTCGATTTTTAAAATGCAAAATTGCAGTTGAGTAACATATATAGAAATAAAGAAATCATAAAGTTAGTATTTTGTGTTAAATGGTACATAAAAGAAAAAGAGTTGAAGGGTAATCTTTTATTATTTTTTTAAAAAATATTTTCTTTTTGTCTTTTACTCTCTTAGAGAATGTGTGTTACACACTCTCTGCCACATCACTTAGAAGTGTCAAAATGGAACATAAAAATTAGAATTGAAGGGTTAAAATGGAACAAGGTTAAGTTAGAGTGTCAAAATGAAATTTAGGGACAAGTTTAAGGGTTTGCATATGTGTTTGGCCTAACATAAAACATATGTTTTAAATTTGAGCTCATTTGAAGTAAATTTGAATGATAAATCATATGTTTGAAATTTCAAGAACAAGTTATTTCTAAACAAAAATCTATTCATCTGAACTTCATGTTGAAATATCTAAAGTGTAACGAAATATATGTCCAAATAGACAACAACAAGCTTAGATGGTTTTCCTCGAAAAATTTTACCATGCATGAGGCACAAGTATGATGTGGCAGACAAAAATTGTATTTCACCAAGTGGATCCATTTCAGAAAAATGGCCAAACTCATCTTTCTCTCTCTACCTTTTAACGTTTTCTTTTTATCTTTCTTACTTTTTTTACTTTAGTTTCTTTTCTAACAATTCTTCCAAATTTTATACTTCCACTTAAATAACTTTATTCATGAAAAATATGAAATCCAAAAAATCTTGTCGGACTCATACTATTTCTAACATTTTGATATTATTTTTTTATCTCAATATTGATTATTTATATTATTAAAAATAGTTATATAAAATTATTTGTTTATTTACAAAGATATAATTAATTTCAATTTTTTTATTTTATTATAACAATTAATTATTTTTGAAAGTACAAATAAAATTTATAAATTTACCAAAAAAAAATAAGGTATAAATTAGTAAAACTATTATTCTATTTATGATTTCTTAAGAAATTTGTAAAAGAAAAAGTAGATTATTAATATGAAAAACAAAGAAGGTACAAATTTAATAAGTTATTTTATTTTTCTCTGAACAATTTCATAATTCAAAAACACTTCAATAAGTAAATATAACGGAAAGAACATCAATGATCTTGACAAACAATTGCATAAGTTTTGATACTGTTGTCGTGAAATTCAAAAACAAAAAACATCCATAAACATCAACATAAATACATATTATTTCCGTCAATTTATACAATATTTTTATTCTTAAAATTCAAGCAAGGTGAAATTTAATAAATATTGTTTATCTACTTTTCTTATACGTTTCTTAAGAAATTATAATTATAAATAATAATTTTAATAATTTATTCCTTGATAGAATTTTTGCAATTTTACAAAATTTATTTATAATTTCAAAAAAAATAATTGTTAGGATTAAAAAAATTACTTATATCTTGATTTTATAAACTAAAAAATAAATTTCGAACAACTATTATTATAATAGAATAAATAACATAGAATAGAAAAACTAATATTAAAATAATAAACTAAAAACTTATATAATGATCGTAAAATTTAAATTAAAATTCACTACGTAAAAAAAGAAAAGCATAAACTAATAAGATCAGCAAATAAAATTCTTAAAAGATTTGACCAACTTAATCTTAAAGAAGAAAAAATTATTAAAAAGATTAAAACACAAAATATATTGAACAAGGGGCATAAAACCAAAAAACTGACGGGATAAGGGACTGAAAAATATCTCAACTTTGGTAAAATCTGTTGTTGCGATACTAAACTTTCATGTGGACCTATTACCTACCTAGACTATTTAATAGTGTATTTTTTACTCCATGAACTATTTAATAGTATATTTTAAAGGTATTTATGTGCTCACGTAGACACATTACTATTTATAATTTTGCATTATTTTTTATGTCCACGTGGGCAAAAATATATGTTTAAAATACGATATTAAATAGTCTAGGGAGATAATAGGTCTTCTTGAAAGTTTAGTATCGCAACAGCAAACTCAATCAAAGTTGAGATATTTTTTAGACCCTTATCCCAAAAATGACAAAGGGACTTAAAGATGTCCCTTTATTAATTAGCTTGGCAAATGGGTCCCATCCATGTCCATTTGTCAATCAAACAATGCCTCATACATAATAAAAAATTTGGTTTTCCTCGTATAAATCTCTTGTGTAATATTTCTTTTCTTTGTTGTTTTTTTAATTTCAATAAATTAATTTAAAACACTTCGTGGAACAGAATCTATAATTAAAAAATCTAATAAAAGTTTAAATTAGACCAATATTATCAGAGATATGTTTCCCGCTCATCTCCTTCCCATACCTTGTATCTATCAAAGTCTATTCAATGTGATTAACTATATGATAGAATAGTACACTAATCTATCAATAGCATGACAAAAAACTTTATAGTAGTAAATGTTCATTGAAGATGGTCAATTGTTAGGTTAGGTAGTGGAAAATTCAAAAAATATAACAAACCTAGGAATAGGACAAGATAGATGCTGAGTAAGAAAAACACAAATTTGGGCCTACAATTAGTCTTCTTGTGGGCCACAATCCAGCTATTACACTCATTTGGGCTTCTTATGGATCCATAGACCTGTCCCAATCACAATTTTAACGTGTTGCCTTGACTTATGATCAATATTTTATTGTCCGAAGAGGCAATAACGAATCTAAGATTTTTATTCAAGAGATTCGAAAAATAAAAATATAACACTTGATATTTAAACTTAGAACGTCGAAATGAATTATGAAGCAAGCTATTACTCTTGTGTTGGAATAAACATTAAAAACAATTGTCTTATATATATAATATAATTTTTTATCGATGGAATTTAGGTGAACATCTCGGGTCCGGAATCCGCCCGCTTCTATGAGGTCCCATTCTCATGTAATAATGTCAGAACGAATGATGTCGATTACCATGCCATGATATTTCTATTAATCAATATATCTTTTTTCGAAAAAAATTATGGTGGTTGAGGCACAACCAACAATAGTTGTGTAAGGGTATCATTTTTTTTTGACAAGTGTTTTGTGTGGGTCCCTCTTATTGTCACACTTTCTCTCTCTCACTTCCATTTTTTCAAATTTTACCCTTTTTTTTATCAATATTTTTACCCCCTTTTTTTTTTGTAGTGCTACCTTTAGTGAAAAAATATATATTCATACAATTATTTGTTTTGTGCTTTCACAAATTCATTTGGTTGGATTTTTTTTCTATTAATTTTCGTAACCCACAAGAAAAAAATGAATCTATAAAAGTTTCATTTCACATTTTAAGATACTAAACATAAAGAAAATCTTTAACGAGAAACACAAAATCAATATTGGCAATATTTATTGGATACATGCCATAGAATTTGAAAATTTAACAAATCTGGAAAAGAAAAGATAATTGAGTGTTTGATATCATTAATACATTATTATTAATATTAAGCATAAACAAAAAAAACATATTTGATAACTAAGAATTGAGTGATTAAAATTGAAATCTCAAAAAATAAAATTAATGATTAAAATTTAAATAAGTAAAATTAAATTATATATTTAAGTGTAATAAATAATACCGATTGAATTTTAGTAGTTCAATTGGTTGATTACTGAATTTTTACTTTATTGAAGAAATTTCATTTTTTTTT